GAAGTGGTTTGAGAAAAGTAAACAAAAAGTTTAATTTGTGGTCATTGACTTAGTAAATATTCTACAAAAAATATTAGCGTAGAGGTCATGAAATATGCATAAGCCTATCTCTTAAATAGAGTAATATACTAGAAAAAGTTTCCGTAGAAATATGTGTACAAGTATTTATACAGTCAACGCTATTAAATTTCCATTTCCAACTCAAAGCTTTTATTACTCTTCTAATTTTCAATGCTAACATTTTTATGGTATTTCTCTCCCATTTTGTCTGCCTTTGTTAAAGAAAGCTTGAACTATTTGTCTTATATGAAATGCATTTAAAATAAAGCTTTTACTAGTCTCTTAATTCCTTTGCCAACATTTATTTTTGTTTTTTTATGCCATTTTCTCTGAGATGCTCTGTCAACTCGTCTCTTGTCTTCAAAGCATTATCTTAATAACTTCCCTTGATAATTTTTTCTTCTAATCTATCAAAATCTTACTTTTTCTTTACTCATCTTTGCTTCTGTCTTCCGAGTTGCCAGAGCATTAGAGGAGGATGTAATTATTTTCATTTTCTCATTTTTCTTTAAAGCGCTCTTCCATGCAAATCTCACGCATCTGGTTTCTTAGTCTTTGTTTTATACTCTCGTCTTCTCACTTGCCTTCAAATGTGTCTCCATTAAATATCTAATTTTTGGAGTTAGATGTGATTGACTTCCCAACTTCCTCTACTCATTTATGTTATTAGCTATTAAAAATCACCGTTCTATGCAACTCTCAGGCATAAAAAAGTCATTGGCTCCATAAAACAAAAATGTATTACTCAGCGAATCGTCATTAACTTCGTCAGTCGCAAACAGTTAATGATCAACTACAGCTTAACACTTTTAATATGTATATATATCCAGCAATTAAATATATATAAACTGATTCATACATAAAGCGTGCTGACGATTCAGTAGATTAACCCCACTTATCAGTTTAATTAATTAACTCCGAAAGCAGGCAATAAACTAGCTGGCCAAATCCGTAAGCAGAGTTAATAACTAAATAATAATGTAGTCGATAATGCTGGCGTTTAAATGCAAATAGGTATAAATCAATACGTTTTATGATTAACACTCTGTTCTATCTAATCTAATCCGTATTTATATATGTATATATCTTGCTCTAATTGCAGCGCCATTCGCTAGAGACCAGCAGCAGGTATGGCTGAAGCCCATTCGGCCGTCGCCTTCTCGTTTGCGATCACGCACGAGGGCTTCGACATCAACTATGACCACGAGGTGCTCAATCTCGTCTTTTCCTCGGGCGTGCGCTCCTGGAAGAAGCGTATAGCGCGTGCCAGGGTAAGATTAACAAGAATCAATGAGCTCGTCTACATAAATCAATATAATATATGTATATCTATATAGAATGGCATACGGAACGGTGTTTATCCGGCTCACATACAAAGCCTCTGGCTAATCACGGCCATTGCGCTGGGCCTGCATTTTGCCGGCTATCAGGCGCCCTTCAACCTAACCAACAAAATCCTCGTCTATTTGCCAAGCAATACAATCAACTGGCAGATCACTGCCTGCTTTCTGACCGCACTTACCGTGTGGCTCTCCATATGCTTTACGATGCGCTACACGCTCAAGCTGCTGCTCATGTACAAGGGCTGGATGTATGAGTCGAGAGCGCCGGGTAGTCGAGTCTCCATACCCACCATGCTCTGGGTGGCTGTGGTGCGTGTGCTCTCCAGCTGGAATAAGCCGGGCCTCTACAGTTTCCAGGGCTCGTTGCCACGCCTACCGCTGCCGTCGGTGCACGACACGATGCAACGTTATTTGCGCTCCGTGCGCCCTCTGCTCGATGATGAGAACTACGAGCGTATGACGGCATTGGCCAACGAGTTCGAGCATACAATTGGCAAGAAACTGCAGCGATATCTGCTGCTCAAGAGCTGGACGTCCACGAACTATGTTTCGGATTGGTGGGAGGAGTACGTCTACCTGCGCGGTCGCAGTCCATTGTGTGTGAACAGCAACTTCTATGGCACCGATGCCATCTTCATGAATCTCACCAACAGTCAGTCGGCCCGTGCCGCCAATGTCATCTCGCTGCTGCTCAACTTCAGGCGTCTGATCGAGCGCCAGGAGCTGCAGCCCATCATGGTGCAAGGCATGATACCGCTCTGCTCGTGGCAATATGAGCGCACATTCAACACGGTACGCGTGCCTGGTCTGGAAACGGATCGCATCGTTCACTACCGCGACTCCAATCACATTGTGGTGCTGCACAAGGGCTGCTACTACAAGATGCTCATCTACTACAAGGGACGCACTCTGCGCCCCTGTGAGCTGCAGCTGTAAGTCTAGCTGACCTCTATGGTGTAATTGGTTAATGCTCACCTACAGTTATGCTTCATCCACAGTCAAATCAAGGAAATACTCGAGTCTAAGGCCACTCCCTTGGAGGGTGAGGAGCATTTGGCTGCTCTGACAGCCTGGAATCGCTCCAAGTGGGCCGAGACACGCAACACATACTTCTCGTATGGAACCAACCACATTGCGTTGCGTACCATTGAATCGGCTGCCTTTGTGCTGTCCCTGGACGATGAGCCGTTCGAGTTTGATCTCAAACGTCCCGAACTGCTGGACTCATTCGGCAAGAAGCTGCTACATGGCAACGGCTACAATCGTTGGTTTGACAAGAGCTTCACCGTCTGTGTGGGCAATAATGGACGCGTTGGCTTCAATGCTGAACATACTTGGTAAGGATTGGGATTGATTAGGATCATAATATCATCACTATCAGTATAGTTTACAGTTATGTATATGTATGCATAAGTCCGTTCGATTGCTTGTCTGTTGGCTTAAATCAGAATCAGAGTCGCCAACTTAGTAGAATCTATAAATACTTAAGTCAAAACTGGGAAAATGGGATTACTATACAAGCTGGTTTCGTTATTGTATTCTTATTTAATTTATTTTATTTTGTTTATTCCTATTTGTTATTCAGTTCATTTATTACAGCTCTATGTCTTAGACTATTTAGCGCATTTTATAAAAATGACAAATGGTTGATAATGATTTATGCCTTTTAGTAGAGTAGTTTCTAGGGCAACAAACTGTTTGGTTATTACTATAGTGAACAGGCTTGAAATTGATTAACTTCGGCATGCTGAAGATATATATATGTATTTTTTAATCATTATAAATTCATGAATATTGTGTAAAAAGGTCCGACGCTGCGATCGCCTCACACATGTGGGAGAATCTGATCATAGATGATTTGGAGAGCGATGGGTAAATGCACCGACAATATATATATCTATACTGTATATACAGCATTAGCTGGTGTCGGTTGGCGGTTGTATATATTTAATAGACCCAAATATATATAAATAGTTAAGAATATATAATCCTATATTATATAACCTATTCCTAACTTTAGTCAATTAATTATCATTGATTGAATTTTAACCTTGGTTGTGGCTTAATCAATTGAATTTATAAATTTTTTTATAGGGCGGACGCACCGGTTATGGGACATCTATGGGAATATATATTTGGTGATGATATTGAAGGGTAATGCTTAATTACAATTAACAAACGAAAAGCATATTAATATAATTAATAAAATAACTCCAAATGGTTTCAAGGCATGCCAGACGAGTTGTTTTCTACGATCTATTGAATAACCCTACACTTAGCTTGACTAACTTGTATGAGTTGATCTAATCCCGTTTGATATCTAACCAATAACCTAACAAACTGTTTTACTAATTCCATTTACACATATGTACAAACCTCTTTAGATATGATGAGACAGGCAATACGAAGGGCATTCCAGAGTTCACACCGCCCACGCCCACGCGTCTGCATTGGGACTTGAAAGCATGCCTGCCACAGATTGAAGAGGCCACCATCTGTGCCACGAAGCTGTGTAATGAGGTCGATCTGCGCATTCTGGTGCACCAGGAGTACGGCAAGGGCTTCATGAAGAAGTGCCGTCTCTCGCCGGATGCCTTCATACAAATGGCCCTGCAGTTGGCCTACTATCGGGATGCGGGGCGCTTCTCGCTGACCTATGAGGCGTCCATGACACGCCTGTTTCGCGAGGGACGCACTGAAACTGTGCGTCCTTGCACCATAGAATCAAGCGCCTGGGTCAAGGCCATGGAGAATCCAAGTACAACGGTATTCGCTAAATGTCATGTTATATATCTCTTATATTATATCTGCTTTCATCTCTTGCAGAACGATGAGCGCGTGGAGCTGCTTAAGAAAGCGTGCGAGCGCCATCAGCTGGCCTACCAGGATGCCATGTGCGGAAATGGTATTGATCGCCATCTGTTCTGCCTTTATGTTGTCTCAAAATACCTGGAAGTGGATTCGCCCTTCCTCAACGAGGTGCTTAGCGAACCCTGGCGCCTGTCCACTAGTCAAACGCCACATGGCCAGACGCCCAAGATGGATTTGAAGAAGCATCCAAATTGCATAAGCGCCGGCGGTGGCTTTGGACCCGTCGCCGATGATGGCTATGGTGTCTCCTATATCATAGCCGGTGAAAATTTAATATTCTTCCATATCTCAGCAAAGAACACGTGTCCACAAACGGTGTGTAGATTATCTATAATATATTGAGATAATTAAAGCTAATAATGATTCAATTGCAGGATGTGCACCGGTTCGCAAAGAATATTTGCCAGGCTTTGGCTGACATTCGCAGCATGTTCGAGCAGCACATGAAGGATCATCCGAAGCCAGACAAGTCCATCACTAATGGCGTCTCTAAATAATGATTAGTCCTATTTGTAGTGAAACTCTTGCGAGATTCTTGTTAGCATTTGTTTTTACTTCTATAGTTAATTGTTTTACCAATCATGAAGCATATTGTCTATTCTAAGTTTTCAATTTAAGCGCAAAAGTGTTCCGAAACAAATAAGAAAACAAAAACGTTTTAAATCAAAATTCACGCGAAATAAGCAATGCAATCATATATATATGTATAAAATTAACTGATCGATTTGTGTGACAACGTGGCTGATTTATAAGTTTTAGATTTAGCAGCTTTTGCACAATTTGCTGTTTCTCAATTAATTAGTTTGTAAATGAGTGAAAAGAACATGATCATTGTAACTTAATGCTAGTTAAAAAATATATATATATTTATATATATAAGTCTAGTGAAATCCATTTCCGTATTTGTCACGCTGCAAGCGGATTTGCATGGATGGTTACTCCATTGATTTTCTTATCCACATGTGGACGATAGTTTTTTGGATTGACAGGTAGTTTTTCCAGCTCGTCGAGTGCGTCGAAGCCATCGATAACACGTCCAAATAGCGTATACTTTAAATCTAGGTTGGGCTGCGCAGCGTAGGTAATGAAGAACTGGCTGGCATTTGCATTGGGACCATTATTTGCCATTGAGACCATTCCCCTATCCGTGTGCTACAATTCAGAAACAGCCTATAGCAGTTATAGTACATATATTTGGTGTATCTACCTTTAAAGTTTCCTTAAACTCGTCATCGAACTTGGTGCCCCATATGGACTGTCCATTCTTCCCAGTGTTTGTCGGATCGCCGGTTTGCACAATGAAACCCTTGATGTTCCTTATGAAGCAGCAGCCGCTGTAGTAGTCACTCGCACACAGGGCGAGGAAATTCTCACAGGCTTTGGGACATGCTTCACAAAAGAGCTCAATCTTAATATCGCCTACGTCGGTGTGCAGGGTAACAGACTGAAAAATATTAAATATATCAATAAATTCAATAAAATGCGGTGTTTGTTTACCATTTTAGCAGCTGATTTGTTATTCGACTTCGAAAAACGTGAAGTTGGCTGCCATTCCATGCGATATATCGTGTCGATTGAGGCAGGCCTCTGTTTCGATTTGTTATCGATTAGTCTGTGGTAACAATCAATGCAACAATGTTTTTGTATTAGTGCACATCGCTGTTTTGGGCGGGAAGAATTCGGCATTCACCGCAATACAATTAAAACTAAGTAAGTTTATTAAATAAATAAGAATGAAGTGTAAAATACCCGAAATCTCTTGGCACAATCGTGACCCGGTGCTAAGTGTAGATATACAATCAAATAGTCAGGGATTACCTGCACCCACAACATGTCGTCTCGCCTCGGGTGGCACCGATGCTCACGTTCTCATTTGGTACGTAAACCAAAGTAAAGAGGACGAAGCCGCGGACGTTGAACTGGAATTGGCAGCGGATTTGGCGAGGCATCAGCGTGCAGTTAACGCGGTGCGCTGGTCACCCAACGGCGAACTTCTCGCATCGGGCGACGATGAAAGTGTTGTCTTCATCTGGAAACAAAAAGCAGAGCACGAAGTCGTAAACATTGTGGATGCGGATGGCAATTCTGAACAGGATCGTGAAGTTTGGCTGACTTTGAAGGTGTTGCGTGGCCATCGAGAGGATGTCTACGATTTGAGTTGGGCGCCGAATTCGCAGTTTCTGATCACCGGCTCGGTGGACAACACGGCCATGTTATGGGATGTTCACAAGGGCAAATCCCTGGCCATATTAGACGACCACAAGGGCTATGTACAGGGCGTCGCCTGGGATCCATGCAATCAGTACCTGGCTACGATGAGTACAGATCGGTGAGTGATGGTATACCATAAAATATATATAGAAATGTATATTTAATTCTTAATTTCTATAGGCACTTGCGGGTTTTCGATGTCAACACGAGACGCGTCTTGCACCGAGTAAGCAAATCTACGCTGCCCGTTAAGGAGGGACATGAGCTGCATGGCCGTAGTATACGCTTATATCATGATGGCACGCTGCAAACCTTTTTCAGACGCCTATGCTTCACACCCGATGGCAAGCTGTTGTTCACGCCAGCAGGCGTGACGGACTATGATGGGGTGTTGAAACCGACGCATACAACCTATGGCTACAGTCGCTATGATCTGAGTAAACCGGCCTTTGTGCTGCCCTTTCCCAATGAGTATACCGTGGCTGTGCGTTGCTCGCCCGTGTTGTACCGTCTGCGACCGTACAATCCGGAAAAGAATCCGCCGATGATATCGCTACCATATCGCATGATCTACGCGGTGGCCACTAAGAACTCGGTGTTCTTCTACGATACACAACAGGCGGTGCCGTTTGCCATTGTCTCCAATATTCATTACACTCGATTGACTGATCTGACCTGGTCGAATGATGGCAATATATTGATTGTATCCAGCACCGATGGATTCTGTTCCTTGCTGACCTTCAGCGAAAACGAACTGGGCGAGCGCTATGAAGATATGGACGCAGTGCTGTGCGCTACGGCCAAATCATCGGAGAATTTGCCACAACGAAATCGTAAAATCAAAAAGCAAAAGCTACGCAAGGCCTCCACAGATGAATCGTCGAAACGGCGACCGCTCCAGGACAAAACTAAGGCAAACAACATTGAAATACAGCCGGGCGTGGATAAAGTAGACGAGTGCAATGAGAGCGGAGAGACTGACTTGGATGCGGACAATGATTCGTCCCTGCAGAGCAGTAGCTCGGGTAATTTAGCGAGCAGTCCCAAACCTGTGGCCAAGACAGAGGAAGAGCCAACGCCCATTGCTTTTAGACATTCGCCACGCAAGGCGACGGAGCCCCAGCCAATTGCAATACGTCGAAAACCTAAAGAAGCCACGCCCATTGCAGCCCCCACCGAGATTGCGGTGAAGCGAAAAGCCAGTGGTGATGCCGAGCCTTTGCAGAACATTGCCAAGCAGGCGATTGTTGTGCTGGGTAAGCCCATTGAAGCAGTGCTCGATAAGGAGATCATCAGTTCGGATGAGAAGTTCGAGTCGCCAGAGAAGAAATCCCGGCCAGCCACGCCCATTCAGGTGCGGAGGCTACCGCGCACACCGGGCAGCAGCAGCACCAACACCCTAACGCCTCAACAAGGGTCCGTCAAACATGCCACGCCCATTGCGGTGCGACGTACACCAAGGGTGTTAATTGATGTGCCCGTTGTGAATGCGCCCGTGGTCGTCGAGGAGGCGATGGATGCCTGGCCGATTGCCATGGAGGGTGTAACTCCGTTTCCAAAGGAAAAATCGCCTAGTAAAAAAGCGGAAGCGACTACGCAACTAGCTATCAACGAGGTGACCTCTGAACGGACCGAGGACATACGATTGGTCTACGAGGACACACAAGAAGAGGTAGCAACGCCAGTGAACGAGACGCCTGTCAAGGCGGCAGCAATTCCTGCCAAGGAAGCAACAACGCCAGCTGCAACGGCAGCGAAAACGACAGCTGCACCGCCTGCTACGACGACTGCCACGCTGGTTGCCTCGCCAAAGCCGAGCACGCCCAACACGAAGACCCCGAGACGAGTATCCTTGCGCACCATTTCGACGCCCAAGTCAAAAAAGAAAATTTTAGAATAGATTTACTTAGTGTACGACAGATATAGACTTAGCCTTAACAGAATTAAATAGTATATGATTATATAACAATTGGGTTTTAGCGACCTTCATAGTTCTTAAATCCAATATTTATATTATATGTAATAAAAACGCACATAAATGAGAGAGAGAAACAGAAACAGAGAGCTGATGCAGCAGTTTCCTGCCTTCCAGATGAACGATCATACCTATAGACTGGTCCATGCGCAGCTGCCGACGCTTAGCAGCTCCGAAGATTTGCTGGCTAATCAACTATTTGCAGGAGCTTCAGTTGTTCTGGTTGATGCCGCTAAAGCAAAATTGGATGACTATGTGAAGCCACTCGGTCAAATGCTGGAGAAGAGCAGTGAGCCCGTTCTTCTGCTCGTGGCTACGCGTCAACGTTTGCAAGAGCTGCGAGGGCAGTTTGAAGAGGAGCTTGGCGGCAGGCAGGAGATCTATGAAGTCGAGCATGAAACACAGCTGATGTTAAGGCGTAATGGACTGTGGATCATGACTACGGCACAGCTTGCTAAATTGCTGGAGCAGTCACAGCCGCTGCTCAAAGATGTTCACTTCCAGACTGTAGTCTTCGATGGGCTGCACCAATTGCAGGCTTATGGCGGCAGCTGCTTCCAGGCGCTCAAACTTGAATTATGGAAGCTGTGCAGCACGCCACAACTGGTGGTCACCTCTAGCTTGTGGTTGGCTGCAGAGATGAGAGAACTCTTACAGCACGCTAAGCAACCCTTGGTGTGGATCAGGGAGCCGCTGGAGGCAGCTGTCTATGGCGGATTGCAGCTGAGAGTGGAGCTGAGCGAGACTCGCACAGAGCAGCTGCAGCAGCTAGTGGAGTACTTGAAGTTGGAATCCCCTGAAAAGCAGCGCACGTTGATCTATTGCTCATGTGAGAGCGATTTCCAGGTGCTGCAGCAGCAATTGCCTAAGGATTCTTACCTGTTGCATCGCGGTCGCCAGGATATGAACCGTCTGGAGCACTGGCAGCAACAGGTAAAAATCGCATATCTTTTTTTATTTTCCTATATGCATATATTAAATCTTTTATTCCCTCAGCTGACGGGCAAAATTTTATTGCTGCGCGCACACTCGCCCGAGTTGCTCGTAGAGAATGTTCAGTCCCTCATACACTTCAACATGCCAGCGACTTGGAGTCAGTTTAGAAGGTCTTTCGCAGTGCTCAAAAATCAAATACACAATGTGCTGCTGGCTAACACGGAGCAACAGCAGCCATTACATTCTCTCATTCTGCTAAACACGGAAAGTCAGCGCATGTTGCCGCAATTGCTCGAATTCATGCAACAACATGGCCAACCCGTGGCCAAGGAGCTAAGCACGGGGCATGCGCAGCTGCAAGCGACGCGCGAGGCGACCCTAGTGTCGCGTCAATGCGTCATTTGTCCGATGTTATTGCTGGATGGACGTTGCCTTAAGCCTACCTGCCAATATCGTCACGTGCTGTCAGCTAGAGATAAGAATTGCGGGACTGTACCAAGAGTTGGATTTATACGCTTTCAGCTGCTTAAGGTGAGTTGATTTAGGATGCAAAGGGTTGAAATATTGAAATATTGAATGTGCATTGGGTTAACTGTAATGAGGGCATATCGATATCAGATATCACTATATAAAAAGCTTGTAGCTGCTTATAAGAGCTTCGTAATCAGCTTCGGTTTAAGTTTATCTTTTTAATTATCAATGACATTGAATGATAGCATTTATAAGCTAATGTCATAATAATTATTATTAGTATTTTTTTTTTAATATATTTTTTTATTCACAAACCTATATGCAAATTCCATATACAGCTCTTTAATATATTTCGCCTTGCAGATCTGCACACCAACACACTTTGCGGCTCGTCTGCTGGCACACAGATCCTCTATAGAAAGTTCCTGGCTCACGCTGCCCGCTCAGCAGCAGTATGCAGATTTGCAAGAGAAACTAAGCACTCACTATGACAAGCCAGAGCATTGCATTGTGCCCACACTGGAAGAGCTACAACAGATTTGTGTGCGTCGAATGGGAAATGACTCTTACGAGCGTGTCTGTGTGACCTTTGTGCCAGCTGCTGCGGCTCCTTCTCCAGCTCGCGGTGATTTGACTGTGCGCATTCGATATTTGGATTTGAGTACGGTCATCTGTCATGCAAAGCTATCAGAGCTACTTGTCTGTCCGCTGGCTTTGCAGCAAAGCGAGCCAATGGCCCTGGATGTGCGTCTCATTGGCTGGTTGCCCTACAATGGCGAAGAGATTTGGCAGAGCTGCGATACCGCAGCAATTGCTGAGCTACTGCAGCATGAGGGCATCTATGAGGCCAGAGTATACACGACTTTAGCCCATACAATTTTTGTGGATGAGCTGCAATTGGAGGCAGTTTCTTATGCCGAGCAGCTGCACAGGCTAAAGCTGAGCAGATTCGACGTGGAGGCAAAGAAACGTTTGGAAGAGTTCGTAAAGGCTATTGGTAAGTAAATTCAACTAGAATTAAATTATTTAAATAGAATAATATATAAATGATAAATAATATAAATGAGATCAGTAATGTGGTTATCGTGCTCTCTTCAAAAATCAAAAATATGTCAATTAATGCAAATAAAAGCATCCCAAAAGCTTCTGTTTTTTATTTTTTATTTTTTTTTTTAATTATTTAAATTTTTAGATGATCTAACATTTTGAGTTTCTTTTACATACAAACATTTTGGTTTTGTTTTTATTTTGTCATTTATTTGGTATTGGTTTTTCGGTTGTATTATAATTATAATTTATATATATATGTGTGTATATATATATTAAATTTGTAATTCAACGATTCAATTTCAGTATGTTTGTCATTTTAGTAATTTGTTTATAGTTTTCCATTTTGTTTACTTGCTCGTTTCACATTTAAAAACTGCTGCTCAAGGGCTTGGTTCATACATGGTTCGTACACGAGGATGCAAAATATAACTGTTTTTTTTTTTTTTTTTTTTTTTTTTAGCTCATTAGAAATATGATTTGAATTTCGCTTTGTGTTGCTTAAACATGGGAAATGATTATTTATTTTGCATGTATTTAAAGCGCAACAACAAAATCGAATTGGACTAAAAAATTCGGATATAACATCTAAAGTTTTTCTAGCTATAAACTCTGGTTCCATATTCCATCTAGCCAATCGTCAGCACTACTCTGAACAATATAATTCTTGCTGTTGTTGCTTGTTTAATTATACAAAATTTATTAAAATCTTTTTTTAAATTTGTGTCATAAATTTTTGTTATTCTTCACACAAATCAAAGTTGTTATTTTTTAAATGTTTGTATCCTAAAAATGATTTAGCTGCTATTAAAGTAATAGTTAATTTCTTTCAGTGTAGTAGTGGTGCGAATTGTGTATGTGTGTGTTGTGTGTGTATCTGTGTATGTCTTAGATCGGAGCAAAAACTTTATAGTATGAGCCGGTTTTAGAAAAATATGAAATTTGCTTTTTGCTATGATTTGAATTTTAAATGTATGTCGTATGTAAAGTTTTCTTATGTTTTTAATTATTTTAAAATTGTATTTATGCAAAATTGTTTATTTATGGCATATGTAAATATGTATTTTGTATTTCTGTCTTATGTTTATTCATAAATGTATGCAAAATTGTAGTTATTATTCTGTTAAGTTACAAAGTTGAGCTAGACGAGTCTTAAAGTTGAGGAAAAAAAGAGATATAAAAGAATATAAATTAAATAGTTTATGGAGTTTTTTTTTATAGTTACATTATTTAGGAGAAAAATATAGTACATATGTTTATGTATGTGTGTATGTATGTTTTGTTGTTTCTATATCTCTCACTATATATATATCAAGATCGTTTTGTTAGTTAAATGAATAATTTCCTGTTTTTGTTGTTGTTCCTTAATATTTATAAGTTACATCAGTTGTAGTTACAAATATTTATTTGATTTGTTTTTTTTTTTCTCTTAAGTTGCTTTTTGCTTGAATTTAAACGTTCAATAAATATATTTGATTTTAGTTTTATATATATTTATATAATTACATACATTTTAGTCAACTTAGCAGAGTTCACAACGGCTTGTTCTATACTATCTCTCTCTTTCTCTCTTTTTGCTTGAGTGTGTGTGTGTCTGTGTTCATAAGCAGCATCCAATTAAAAATTTGTTTTATCGAATCATTTTGCAGCTCATTTAGCCAGCTGTAAGAGAAATTTTGCAAGGAATAAAGAGTTTTGCTGTTTGTTTTGTTTTTGAATAAATAGTTTTTATTTGAAAATGATTTTTTTTATATATTTTATTATTTTTTTTTTATTTTGTATTTTGGTAGAATTTTACAAGTTGAATGGAAAATACATACGATAAATATTACAGTGTTTGTTGTGGTTGTGGATCTTTATTTTGTTTTTGTATTTGGATAGGTAGTTGTAAGGAGTGTGTTATGCTTAGAAAACTGCTCATAATATGGCATCCAACTACAAAAGTATCTGACAGATACCCAAGTATCTGCAACTTTTGCTTAGTCAATACACTGGTTAATTGTTTCAAGGTTTCAGTTTTTGATTGATGAGTTATTGTTGTGAAGCAAAAATGTTTTCCAAATGTTAAATGATATTTTTTATTTTGCTAATAAACTTACTAAATTGTTTTGTTTCTTGTTTTTTTGTTTTGTTTTTGTTTTTGTTTAAGTTGCTTGTTGCATGTGTGTTTTACATAAATAAGGCTTAAAAACTATAAAACATAAATGGATTTCGCATAGAGCAAGAGCACAAAGATTGCATAAATCATACTAGTGTATATATATATATATAAAAGTATATGAGAGCAGGATGGGAAGGAAAAAGAAATACGGAAGGTGGAGTTAAGTTAAGTTAGGATAAAACTGGGATAGAGAGCGACTGTATAATATACAAAAATACTATAAAATAACAATTATAAATTCATTGTGTAAACCCAAAATGCACAATCATAGATACATCAAAGAAGTTGCATAAGCATATGCATATACATAAATACATTAATAAGTGTATATAAATAAGTCTAAACAAAATTAACAGCTGCAACTGCACAGTGTTAAATGCCATTCACTAAATACAATAAATGTTACAATTAATATTATTATCATTATTATTATTATTATTATTATTATATATAGTATGTATATGCTTTATAAATATTACATACAATGCGTTTTACAATGAACCGTTTTCTATTTCGAGATTTTTGCCTCCCGTTTCCTTGCTATTTCCCAGTTTCTATTGCGAGTTTCTCTGTATTTTTCTTTCTTTTCTTTTGTTTTGTGTTTTGTTTTGAATTGCGAATTGCATTTTATATAAGTTACAATCGTACGTGGCTTTATAAATGCAACAAAATTATATTAATTACAATAAATTAGTGTACAAAAATTAAACTTAATTTGTGTGTGTGTGTGCGTGATGTGTGTATTTGTGTTTGTGCGTGCGATTTGTAGCTGCTTCAGCTCTTTGCTCGATTCTCGATTTCCGATTCCTTTTCTAAATGCATGGGCATGGCATATATGTACGTATGCTATATATATACACACACACACATGCAAAATTTTTAACAAATTACAATTTACATCGATCTATATAATCAATCGAATTATGGCTGGCTGGCTGCAACAACGATCGCAATTTTTTGATAGTAAATACAAATAGTTTTCAGAGAGTTTTCCTTACAGTTTTTGTCCGTTTATCAATTTCATCTTCTTTTTTTAAATTAGGCCTTAGAAATTAGATTTGTTATGTTTGTTTTTCGTTTTAAATTGTTTCCTTTTTTTTTGGTTTGTTCACTTGCTTTATCATTACGTTATGCTTTAAATATTATTTGTAAATTTTTTTTTTTTTTTTTGTATTTTTTTTTCAATTTATTTTAATAATATTTATATGCATTCTGCTAATTCATTGCCCAAGGATTTGTTTTTCATGTTTCATTCTTCTTTTTTTTTTTTTTTTTTTTTTTTTTTTTTGTATTTTTCAATTTGCGCTGAGAGTTTGTAAACTTTGAACTTAAGCCTAAACAAGCATGAGAAATGCAGCGTTGATGGCATGAATAATTTCAAAGAGATTGCAACAGGAAACATTTAATATATATAATATAATATTTATATACTTAGATGCCGGTATACATACATATGTATATTTATATGTATATATATATTTCTGTATATATACTTCAATTCTTTACTTTTCATTTGGTTTAAGTTTTTTTTTTTGTGTTTTCATCATCGTCATCCTCTTCCTCATTCTCTTCCTCTTTCTTTGTTTAATAAATACACGAGAAACTAAACTACACATAAATTATGAAATTCTATAAAATTATTCAGACCAAACAACAACTACATATTATGCATTAATGCTTGTGTGTGTGTGTGCGTGTGTGTGTATGTTTGTTTGTGCGTCTGTGTGTACGTTTGACTGTTTGTGTGCGTGTCTGTGTGTGTGTGCGTTTCATGTCATACATGTTGCAAATGTTATGCAAATATAGGAAATGCTTGAATATTTCTCTTCTCTTCAACAACTCTTTCCTCATTTAGTCAACTAAATTTCTCATCATATGTTAAGCATATGCGCTTTCTCCTTCTCTCTCTCTCTATCTGTTTATGTTTGTGTTGCAACAAATAAAAGTTCTTTGGGCTTTCTGCTTAGTACGTGTAAATGTGTGTGTGTTTGTATTTGTATGTGTTTTGTTGGTTCTATCATCATTTGCTTTTTTGATCAATGCTGGTGGGTTGTTGTGCTCCCGCGCTGTAATTTGTTGTTGTTGTTGTTGTTTTCATATATCATTATCATTATTAATATTATTATTATTATTATTTTAACTTGTTTTATGTTTACTTCTTTTTGTTTTTGTAATACCGTAACGGTTCCCGTTTAGCCCCGCCATCACGTCTTAGTACAGGCCACAGCCGCGCAAATTGTTTGCTATGATGACATCGGTAACAGCATCAAATACAAACTGAATGTTGTTGGTATCTGTGGCGCACGTCATGTGGCAGTAGATTTCTTTCGAGGTTGATTTGTTTTTCGCTTCGAACTGAGCCTGAATGTAGGCAGCCGCCTCACCATACTCCTGACCGCCTAGAAGCCAAACGAAAAACAATAATAATTAATATCATAATTATCTTTGTCCCGTATCAGATACTCACCTGTGTACTCGGGAAAGCAAATTGTCAGCGGACTCTTGCGTATCTTCTCCTCGAACAGATCCTTTTTGTTCAGGAACAATATAATCGAGGTATCCGTAAACCATTTGTTGTTGCAAATGGAATCAAACAGCTTCAGCGACTCTTGCATGCGGTTCTGCAGTGAATTAGAGAATGATTTTTGAAATTAATGTAGATTTTCTTTTCCTTTCTTTTTATAGTTTTGCTCATTTGTAGTTACCGTAGTTTCGTCCTCATGCAAGACCTGATCGTATTCGGACATGGCAACGCAGAAAATAATCGCTGTCACATCCTCAAAGCAATGTATCCATTTCTTGCGCTCAGATCGCTGGCCGCCCACATCGAACAATCTAGAAAAGATATGATGATGATTTTTTATATGAGATGTAAGAGAGTTTTACTGCTAAAATCAATCTTATCCTCATGAATCCTTAATAATATTACAAGCTTTAAGTTTATTTTGTTCTACTTCTGCTTTAATATGATCTATATGAATGGTTTCCAAGTTATATTTTCTATTTATTCAGATAGTATTCTTATAACATAGGGTACATTATTATTAATATACAGTCGAGTGCCGATAATTCGAAATGGCAAGAGGATAATTTTTTTTCGATTTACACAAAAAAAGCAAATTATCGATAATTACCGATTTTATTTCAAGGGGATAGAATTTCTTTTCGATTTATCTCGATTTTCGCTTTAGCTTGTTACAATTTATCGAGACTCGACTGTATTATAACACCATATTTAACTATCAAGTTTGTATTTTGTTTTCAACTTACTTGAAGTTGAGATTTTTGAAGGAGAAATGAACCTCGACAATGCCGGTGGTCTTGACTCGGGTGCGCAAGATGTCCTGCTCGGTAGGCTGATAGTCCTTGGCGCCTAACCGATCCAAATCGTCCAGGAAACTGCAAAGAGCAAACAGACAGCGGTCATTAGTAAGGGCTGTTACGCTATTTTGATGGGTGGGTAGGGGAAGGGGCTATGGGTGGGGACAGGCTCATGTGTTTGACTAGCTGCAGCTGGTGGCGGGGCAAACACACACACACACACACACAGAGGCAATTTGAGGGCGCAGGCGAAGCGCTGTGCAAACAATTAAAATGTAGCAAAAATGTAGGCGCTGCCAAGTGGCAGCACACGCATAGATACAAATGTATCTGACAGATACAAATGTGAGCAAAGAGACATACAGATATAAACACACGCACATGTGTATTAGTGTGCGTATTCACACAGTCTCGCAATCTTTGTTTGCGGCCACATAATTAGCTTGATTTGTGACTCTCAATCAGTCAAAGGTTGCGTGTTCAACAAGTGGGTCAGCTTCAAATAGAAATTAGAAAAGAAAAAAAATATATATATGTATATATATATGATACAACATAAAGTGGCAGCAGAAGTCGAAGTCCGACTTCGACTAGGCCAGCGAGTCCAGATCTTGGCCGTAATTGCGGCGACGCACGCAACAAATTGCCAAGCCAAAAAAAAAACTAAAAAAAAAAAACAACAAAAGCAAATGCAGGTGTTTAGCTCAGGTAAACCGAAAAGCCCAGTTGTCTAAGGTCTTTTTAGATGGGTCGTAAATAAGTTTTTCATTTCTTGCTCTTGTGCGTTTTGTCTTCTATGAATCTTATTGTTATTGTGGCAATTACAACTGCTTTTGTGGCCAACTTTGTTGGTTGTGTATTTTTTGATTAACGCGACTTGCTCAACTTTGTTGTAGTTGTTGCTGTTTTTTAGTGGACCCCATTGATCGTAGTGTAACAAAGTCTGGCAACGCTGTCGCAAATGCAACAGCCAAGGATGGCGGAGGGAAAATTGGCCAAGTCACGCTTGCCATGCTCCAAATATGTAGGCCATAACCGCAACATCAGCCACACGACCCATTCAAGCGGAAAACTTTACTGCATAATACTCTAAATGAACCTATATATGTATATACATATGTATATATCTATGATGTTTACTGTGCATGCCTAGACGTAAGCCTTAGAGGCAGTGTAAACATTTGTTACATTTATACGGCACACGCTAATCAAAACCTATTCACAATTTTCACTCTTCGATGATCTGCGAACGCTCGAATCTTATCTACGTAATGCCTTCGGTCTATATATATATTGCATCATGCGCCATTCAGTTAGCACTTACTGTAGGCACAGTGACAGAGAGAGAGAGAGAGAGGGTGAGGGAGTGTGAGAGAGAAAGGGAGTAAGAGTGAGAGTGAGAGTGAAACACATAGTAAAAAGTTTCTAGCTTCACGAGAGAAGAAAAAAAAAGGCTGCGACCAAATGTGAAAAAGGTCAAAAAGAAGAAACTGGCTGTAAATAATGTTTGCATAGGTCAAAAATATGTAACCATTCTAAATTGATTAACCTCGGGCTGCTTTTTAACGAGCCCTGCATAGCAGAGCAAATGAAACTGTATTTTTTTTTAGTTGTTTTATTAAATTATTTTTGCCTTTGCTTGCTTAACTTTGTAATTGTTTGTCTTCATTTTTCAATTTAAACTCAATTATGTATGCCAAAAATATAAAAATAGCATAAATTAATCAAATTAAAAATTTGAAAAGAAAAGCTAATAGTAGCTCAATTTATTATTTTATTTATTTGTTTGATCATTTATTATTTATTTGTTATATATTATTTTAAATATAAATTTGCTTTTAAAATTATATTTTAAATAAATTTCGTTCAATTCTTTAAGATAATATTTAAATCAATAATTATAAAATTTAATTAAATATTTTTTCCAATTCTGATTTTATTTTTATTATTTTTATTAATATTATCTCTGGCTGTCTATTTATATAAGTTTTTCTCCTCTTTATATTTTTGAATTTTTAATAATTTAGCTTAATCAGCAGCATACTAAGAATTCTCTTCAGGTATATTTTATATATATTTTTTTATTATTTCTCCTTTTAATATTTTTTTAACTTTTATATATTTAGCTTAATCAGCAGCACAGTAAAGATTATCTTCGAATATATTTTATATTTTTTTTTTTAATTTAATTTAAATATCATATTCCAAGCAAATGGCAGCCGCCTCACCATGGCAATATAAAAAAAAACTTTACTATTTATGCTGCTGTAATTCTCGCCTTGGAGAAAAGGCAGCCAACTGTTAAGGGTACTTAATATGCTTTATGGCTGAGTGCATTAAGTAAATTTTTTATGCAATTTCCAGAGGGAGATGGCAGACGAGAAAACGACAGAAACAGATAGTCTGGATAAACGCATCGTTAGTCTTCATGCAAATTTCTGTATTTGTATATTTCGATTCATTTTAATTTTTGTTTTTTTTTCTCATTTCAGGCAATTTCCTAATGCCGCCCGCCATTAGGGCCTAAACGAAATTACAGGTGAATAAAAGTTGATAAAACACTGATCAAATTGATTAAAATGATTTAAAACGCGTAAATAACCGTTACGAAGTAATGTTGAAAACAAACTTTTGCTTTTTAGTAAGATTGATTAGCGGCTAACACTTTCAGTTTCAAATGGTCAGCGAAGAAGAAGAAGAGCCAGCCGAAAGATAGAGCGCGAGAGAGAGGGAGAGGCAAAGAGGAAGAGAGCAGCAGAGCGAGAGCGAGAGAGACATGACAATTAGCGGGCGTATCTTAACAATAAAACCAACAGTGGAAGCCGAAATTAAAAAAAATAAATAAAATCATGAAACTCCAAAGAGTCGAGTGCTCTGATACCCTGTCTTTAAATGGCAGCCAAGAGAGTTGCTAAACATTAACTAATATAGAAAAGGTAATTATTTTTATTGAGTGTGTGACAATATTAAATGTTATATATAGTGAGCTTTCTATATTTTATTTTATTTTTTAATTTTGCAAGCTTTAGATAGAGTATTTGATTTAATTATAACTAAGCAACAAATTAACAAGTTTCAATACACCCAATGCCAGTTTAGGTATTTGAAGAACTTCTCTGTTCTAACAATATTATTTGCTATCGGCTATCGCCTCAGTCTAGTTTCTCTTTCTGGTTAATTGTTGATTAGTATAGGAAACAAATATATGACATAATCCCGGCAAATTTTCCAAGAATATTCAATAAAATATTCAAATGAAGCTGACAGTTGCACATGCTCTATATACATTTCGTTAATGTTTTATAGTGCACAACAATTTGATTTATCCTATTTCATTTATTTGACTAACCGTTGTGTATATTTAGGGTCAAGGCCGCCATATGAATTATATTTGAAAATTATGCTATAAAATAATTGTATATAAAAAAAAAGAAGATATATAAACAATATATGTGTATCGTTATCGACATGTATAAAACATAAAAATGCATACTATATATTTATATAGATAAATGTATAGTAATCAAAGAAATGCCTATTAAATTTTATTTATTTTTTATCTACTGAATGGAAAACTATGGGAGAAGAAAAAGTAAAATTTTTTACATTTTTGATTTAAACATAAAAAACGATATAGATATAAAAATTTTTAGTAAAAATTTATAATAAAAATTTATAATTAGTTTAAAAAATGATAATAATGATAATGATAACGAAAAAATTTCATTTATTTGTATAAAGAGCCGAATGAAAAAGGTAATTAAATTAATTAAAATAAAACAAATTATGAAATTGAATTAAATTTTGTAGAGTTCTAGGGTTCAAAACCAATTTTAAAAATATTTATAAAATATGTATGTGTATATGAATACCATTAGAATTATAATATATAAATAATATATTACTTATTTCAATTTAAAAAAAAGATCACTCCAAAACGTTACACATTTCATATGCCAGCTGCAACGCCCCCAACACTCGCCTAGGGTATTTCAACAATAGCTTGGAATTGCTCACGCACACAGCTCCAATTGGCGGCGCACGTAGACCAAACTCTAACCAGTCCGCCGTGCCAGACTGGACCGGAGCGGAATTGATGCGCAGCGCGGCGCGGCGCGGCGCAAGCTTTTCGACAAGTCCTATAAGTAGACTAAGAAGCGCTGCGATCGCGTTTAGTGCGTCGCGTTTGCTCTACGAGGCAGCTGGCAAAAGCGGAGCTACGACTTTCGGTTTCTATTGGCCAACGAGTTTGCAAGTTAGCGTGACGCTTTGATGTTTTAAGTGGAAGTGGAAGTGCCACACCAAGTGAGTGAAGCTACGAGCAAAGCATATATATACATATATACAAGACATACATATATATATATATATATATGCATATCTATTATATGTGAGTCTGTGTGTGTGAAAATGACAATAGGAAATCGCAACCGGGTTTTAGCTTGGACAAGAGATAAATTGAACACAAATGCTGTAAGCGTTGACAAGTGGAGCCAAATTTGAAAGCTGGCAAAGGCCATAAAAAGGCCGCCTAAACTTTGGCCAAATGCTGCAACAACAACAACGACGACGACGTTAACAAAACAAAACTAGTTAAAGTGCAATGCACTTCATACCGTCTGTGAGTTATTTGCCATTGCAAGTGAGGCGTGAAAAGGCAGCTAAAAACGCCAACATTGAAAGGCTTTTGACAAGTGCAGAGCAAACAAATGGAGGCGTGGCAGACACACAGCAGCAGCAGCAGCAGCTGCGGCAACCGTAACGCCTCACCTGCCACACCTCAATACGCATAATTTATAGATCTCAAATTGGATATCAATCGCTCCGCTGTTGCAATGACAAAACAAAACAAAAATATCGACAAAATATTCAAATGAAAACGAAATCGCCAATACATAAAAGACTTGCTAAAATATTTGATTAAATGTCATAATTTATGCAGTCCGCAACTTTCTACAGACTTTTAGCTGTAAATACTACAATAAATATATTTAACATTTGTGCGCTAATGAATAGAATCTTTTGTGTGTCTGCTGCATTTGCAAAATGCGCAAAAAAACAAAAAATAAAACAGAATTTCGATTTCGATTTCGCCTTCAGTCGTGCGCAACGTTGCCTTGAAAAGCAGCTAGAACAATGTGGGCCACAAGTGGCTGCTAAGGGCGGCGCTGTCGGTGGGTGGGAGTGGAGCGGAAAAAAAAAACAAACTAACGTTAGACAACTCAATGGAAACGAAAAGCTTGTAGCATTTCAGTGTGTACAAAGCGAAGCCATGGAACAGTTTTCTTGCCCCAAAGCGAGAGACTTGAATAAATTATAAATATGTGAAATGAAATATACATTTTACTCATACTACAAAGGGGTGCACAAGACGGTGGCAACAAATTGAAGAAAATTTATAGAAATTTAAAAAGCTATATAAAATAAATATATATATACATTTAAATATTAAATATATATAAAATGATTATATAAATATTTGTGCAAAATATGATAGCTTTAAAAATTTTATAAAATTATATAAAATAATAAATATATATGATTATATAAATATATTTGCAAAATATGATAAAAGGCTTTATAAATTTTATAAAATCATATAAATTGTCAGTATAAATTTTCAGTATAAATTTTCAGTGATAAATATATACATGTATATATGTAAAAAATAAAAGAACACCACTGGCAAATTCAAAGTTTAAAAAATCCTCCTCGATACATTTATCAGTGTATTGATCTACTTATTTTTGCTTATATAAGCAGAAAACAATAAATTATTGCAATAAATAACAATTATCACAAAAATATTCAACGTTTTTATACATTTCGCAAAACTCTCAAAGAAGTTAAAAAAAAAAAAAAAATAATGCACATGGTGCTATTTTATTTTTCATTTTATTTATGAATACTATATGATAGATAAATGGCTTAAATACATTTGCATATACATATATAATATATGTAAAGCTGCACGACAAGGCTGTGATTAAAAGACGTTAAATTAGTCACAGTTAAATGAAATTGTCCAAAGTGGTTCAAGTTGCATTAAATCATGATATTTTAAATGCTGTATCTAATTTCAATAATACTCTTATTACATAAAACACGCAATTATATACACAATAACTATACATACAATTATATATATACAATTATATATATATATACAATTATATACACAACAATTGTTACATACATACGTAAACTCTCTCAGCTTAAAAGTCATTTGCTTTTCGCACTCTACATAAAAACTTCCTACAATTTCAACTATCATAGTTTGCCAAGTCAAGCACAATTTCTTACAGTGCATAGTCGTCGTTGTTTATTCTTTTAATAATAAAGACGCGACAATTGAAATTGCTGGCGCATTGGCTAAGCAAAGTCAAAGTTAAGCAGCGGCCTGGCCCAGCGAGGAGACAAAGCACTTAAACAGCTGTGTGAAGAAGCAGCAGCAGCAGCAGCAGCAGAGGCTGCTTGACATTTTGGTTTTCTTTTCTTATATGCTTGTTTTGGGGGGCAAGCGCAAGAATTATCACTCAAGTTCATTATGAGGCATGCCCCGATAAGATGTATGTGTGGTTGACTAGCTTGTGGTACACAGAGCTCAAGTGCTGGACGGCTGAGCTGAAGGTCGTCGTTTGTCAAGGCAAGGGCAAGGATATAAGCTCAGAAGCATAATGCCAAGATTGTGTGTGTATACACACACACAAACACACACACAAACACACACACACATGGAGATTGAGCTATAAAAATTGTGTGCGGCAAATGGGATTTAAATTGCCAGCGCACAGAAGTTGCAAGTTAGGAGCAGGCGCAGAGAGCAAGAGAAAGAGAAAGAGAGTAAGAAGGAGAGAGAGCGCGCGACAGTGGCAGCGACACGCGGCGTATGAGCAATATCTCAATATTGCTCATACGCAGCGTGCCACCAAATCACGCTTTGAAGTGTATAGACGCGTATATATGAGCAAATATCTGTATGTATGTATGTATATATAATATATGTATATATATACATTTATATTGAATGTCTTTTGTTAGCCACTTGAATTTTATTGGCCCCACGCATATGCACACACAAACACATAACACACAAACACACACACACACACAGAGACACACACTTTAACAATGCTGCTGCTCTGTATTGAGTTAGGTCTTTGAGTTTTGGGCTAAAATCAAATGTAAACTGCTTGAGCGTAGCTTTGGGGCTTTTATTTGCCAGCATTTTAGGCCGCATATTAAGTTCGTTTTATTTTCTCATTGTTGTCGTTGTTGTTATTGTTGTTGCTCTTATTGCATAGGCATTTTGGTAAATTGTTCATTGTTTGCCTGCTCCCGTTGAGTGCACTGCATTTGGGCCCAAAAAAAAAAAAAAAAAAGCGTCTCTCATGGGACATTAGGTTGCGCGTCTGGGCCAGAAACTTGTAGTTGACATCCGCACATTTATGGCCACATGCAGTATTTATGTTCGTGCATAAATATTGTGTTTACCGTGCCCTAACCTTCCATTATTTAAATATTGACAGCTAACTTTATTGTTTGCCTGTTGAGACAATGCGGCAGAGTGAGACTGTAGGAGCTGCTATAAGCACAGCATCTTCATAAATAATCAAATAATACATGTTCTCAGCGCTTCTTTATTTAACTTGACAATTGTCGTTTGCCCAAGCAATTCGCAGCGCTGAGCTACCTTATTTGCACTCAGTTATATAACATTATGAACAGCAGCATAGT